AGTTTCCTTATGCTAAGTTCGACAGATACAGACGTTGTTTCCGAAGCAGTAGGACTTCTCTAGTTTGCCGTCTGTATCTGTCGAACTTAGCATAAGGAAACTTTTGCTTTGATCTCATTTTGCAGAGGACACTTTGAACTATCTACCTGTGAAAAAGATCGATAGACTACTATGTGAAACCTAAACGGGAAGAAAAGAACACAAGTTTTTATTTTTCTTGCTCTAGTTATGTTCTCTGGGCATTTCTTTCGTTCTGCGTTTGAATTAGACTTTTATCATGAAAGACCATTGATTAGGAAAAATTCTAAAAAAAAGTGCAATGTTCAAAATTTGACAGGAATCTTTGAAGTAATTAATTTTTTTCTCAGTCAGATAATGCCTACAAGCCTAGAAAACTTCAGGATATATGTTTCGACGTGTGCTCTACCAACTGGTACAGTGTGAGCGAAATCTAAATGGGAAGACCCCCCTTAAGTCTAACATGCAGAAGTAATAACTTTTAATGAAAATGTAAAAGAAGTGTTATACGATAAACTAAAGACAATGCTTGGTTTATTAGATCTGCAGCGTTTATTGTTTTTATTTATCTCATAAATAGGAAGTAAAATGCTCGATTGCTCGTTCGTTTTACAATTTCTAGAATCCTGAAAAAATTCTTTGTCAAATTCACCAATCTTCATCTTTCAGAATATTGGTGTAAATTGATGTAATATTGGTGGTCAATAAAGTGAAATTGTGTAGATCAATATGATCGGTACAGGCGGAATTGTTAAATAATTCAATTTCGTGGATAGAATGACTGCAAAAAAAGATAGAGAAATGTTTTTTCTATGTCGTAACCTCGTTGGATTCTTCACTGTAAGTTTATTTTAAGATCAATTTAAAAGGTTTCAGATGTTTCAGAAAGGAGAGATTTTCTTTACTTTCTGGTAACTTTTTAAATTAGTCCTGAAATAAATTCGAACTGAAAACTCCAGTAATGTCACGTTAGAAAGAACATTTCTCTATCTTTTATTTCAATCATCCTATCTCGAAATTGAATTATTTAACAATTTCATCTGTACCGATCATATTGATCTCCACATTTCACCTTATTGACCACCAATTACATCAATTTACACCAATCTGGCTTCGTACTGAGCTTTTTCTAAAAAAGAGGAATTAAGGAGGAAACGCAAAATCTTGAAAGGAGGAACGCCATCAAAAAAGGAGGATGTAAATCCTAAGTTAAAAATACTAATTGCACAAATGAAATTGAAAATGAAAGCAAACAGATTATGCAATATGTTTTGGCTTTCAGAGAAGAAAATGGTTGTGTATCACTGTTAACGGAGTTTTTTTATGTCGTCTGCTTTTCTTAGGTGATTTCTATTTTGATATCTTTGAAAAATTTTATTTTATAAAATTGAGAGGAAGAAAAAAAATATCAAACACGTGCTAGAGAGAATGAATAGAATCTTCTGAATTCGAAATGTGAAAAGATATTTAGATATACACGATGAACAGAGAGAGAAAAAAGGAAAATACAAGTTAAAAGAATTATTGCTGACACGACAGATGATGATAGGAAGATAGATAACAGAGATCTAGAAAAGGGAAAAATGCACATACCAAATAGAGAACTACTGATGACTCGCCATGCAATGATACGAAATTTCTATTGACATGACCACAAAAATACTTATAGTGCAATAAGGATCGAGGTCACGTTGTAACTATCACTACAAGAACAGATAGTACTACGTTCATGGCAATATAAGAAGCAACGTATGATAACTAAAGCCTTAAGAAGGCTCTTTGATTAAACGCTTTTGGAAAACTAGTCATCAGGTCGCCGACGCATTGTATGTCGCTAGTTTATCGGAATGTGTCAAATTAGACAACGTAGCGGCTGTTAAAGGATAGAAACTAGCACTTATATCTCACAAAACTAAGTATGAACTCTCAGAAATTCCCAGATCCCGGGTGTATAAAAAAAGAAATATCTATGCACTTCTAATTCAATTAAAATTATGAACTTTCGAAGATTTTGCCGTTCTGCGGCACGAGAGTGGCTAACTTTCACAGTGCATAGATGGTTTATGTGCTATCCACTTCCAACGTGCTTGATTTTAAGACAAAAGGAGTATTAAAAAAGAATAAAAAACATTTTCCAAGACTAGTAACAGCTGCTACGCTTTAATCCGTTCAATTTTTTTTATCTCCAGCAATTCCGATAAAGTCATTTTCTAAACGTATTTTTCATAGTTGGAGACCTGATGATAGTCAACTTTGTCCAAAAAGGAGGAAAAGGATGGGAGGAGAAAATTGACAAAAGGAGGAGAACGGGTACGATGCCAGATACCAATTGACAATTATCTAAATAAACAAATCAATATTTTGTGTTATGAAATTCATTGACTATGAAGAGAAAAGAGCACACAAAAATCGTTGCCTAGTGTTCCTCGATTTTCTAGTTAGTAATTCTTATCTTTTATGCAGTTACTCAAAAAAACAGTCGCTACTTGATTACTACTCACTTCCATTTCCTAATCGATAGTTCTTTCGAACAAAACGTATTTAGTCTAAAGTTCAAAAATGACTCAGGTCGACGAAAGTTCATCATTAATTGTTGTAATATGAGAAAATAAAATGAAGAATGAAAATAGTTACATACCGGTTCTTTATAATGATCATATTTTACTACTAATATATCTTCAGCTGCTTCATAATGATAAACAAGTTCTTGCATATTAATGCAACCATTCTAAAAGTAAAATGTCTAAAGAAATTAAAATACACTTGTGTTATTACAATTGTCTTATTTTCGGTTACTTTTATTTTAAATATTTTACAATTTCCTGTTTGTGTACAAACTATTAAACATAATCCATCAGAACTCCATTCAATCCTAACAATGGTAGATATGACATAGTTATTAAATGAAAATGCCATGGTTGTTCTAATGCTATAACATAAACACAAAATGCAAGTTTATGAGGATGACTAAATACAAAGAAGAACACATCACAACATATCATTATAAGACTGTCCAAAAAGTAAAATACCTACGGTGAGCAACGTTTAAACTATGTTCAAATTTGTTTCATCGCCTACATAATAAATCGAGAATGCTAACAGATTACGAGAAGATACGTCTGAGAATAATGTACGATAATATTGAAGATCATCGGAGTTCAGTTTCAGATTCACAGCATATCTATACCATATCACAAAAAAACATCTAAAACAAACAACCAAATTAAAAGACGAAAGAGGAGAGAGTACAATACTACGATAAAGAGCATCATAATAGAATTTTAGCAAAATTTACACACTTTGATTTTATTATTCGAGCTTTCGAAAGGTTGCTTTTATCATCAGAAAATTTATTCAACTAAATATGCCCGCCGACTTTTTCAATTAGTGTACAAATCACATTTTAGTTCTTTCTTTATCTTTCTCCCTTATATATATTGAACCTACTTCTCAATAGTTCTGTCATTTTGTTTTTCTGACGAACGCAACATTTTGTTTCCTGATCAAAGCAGAACCTTTCGAAAGCTCGAATAATAAAATTAATTGTACTGCTATAAGATCATCGTAATAGAATTTTAGCAAAATTCACACACTTTAATTTTATTATTCGAGCTTTCGAAAGGTTCTGCTTTGATCAGGAAACAAAATGTTGCGTTCGTCAGGAAAACAAAATGACAGAACTATTGAGAAGTAGGTTCAATATATATAAGGGAGAAAGATAAAGAAAGAACTAAAATGTGATTTGTAATTGTCAAATGAACGACATGCACTCTTAATATTATTATTATGATGATGATAGTGATACTAAATGAAAGCTCAATTGATATTAAGAGAAGAAAATTTATTACAGAAGTAGACAACAGTAATTACTAGAGCATAGTCATTTGTATAGTGAATGTCTTTTAGCATTTTGACTATAGTTTAGATCTAGTATCATCTCACTTGTCATTTAATTCACTTTTTGTTTTAAATGAATGAAAAAATAACTATTTTTGTTAATAAATACTGTCACCATTTTTCTTTCTTGTATGAGTTTTTTCTTATAACAGACATATTATCACATTTTATTATTTTGTCTCATCCTGCTATATCAGATAAGAGTTTACTCTTATTTCATCCTTGCATTTTTTCTACAACATTGTAATTCATAATTGATAAAATAGTAACAGCAGCTGATTTGAAATTCATATTTATTTAATTGATACCCCTGAACAAGTACAATGTTTCACAGTATTTATGACAGCATTATGGGGTCTTAACTGTTCAATTAAATAAATATGAATTTTAAATCAGTTGCTGTTACTATTTTATCAGTTCTAAAATTTCTACCCCTGAACAAGTACAATGTTTCATTGTAATTCATTTTTTTTCAAAAAACAAAAAGATATCGTTTATAATTAGAATACATAAGTGAAGATGAACATAATCTCAAGTGATCTCAATATACATTTTTCATATTTTAAATTGTACAGGATTGCATTCTAAAAATTAATTCTAGATGATATGTTCTGAAGACATAAATTATTCACTTCTATATAGTGTTTTATTACTCCTTTATACAATTAATGATGATAATTTTGCTATTATCGATTTCAATACTGATGATGAAGATGATATAGAATTAATTAAACTAAGATATGGTACAATCAAACTATGTCGATTTTTTTGTAAGCTCCTGTGTTCAGATCTAAAATAAGCAAAGAATTAATATATTGATTATTTATTTTTTTCTAGCTGACATGCGTTATCCACAAATGTAAGCTGATCTTATCAATTGTATCTATGATATGCAAGCATATCATATAACGTTATAAGCTACAGTATGCTCGATGTTTACACTTTCATCAATATTCAACAAAATGTCGAAATATGATTAATTATATGATGTCTTTTTTTGTGATCCAAATCAATTTTTATGGTATGCCAAACGGTTAGTTTATTTATTTATTTTATTCTTTCATAAAGTAATCAAATAAATTATTTTTGTTTATCTATTTATTTCAGTAAAGTCAAAGTATTTGACTCATTTTTCAATCAAGTATATAAAGAATGTAAAAATGTTGAATATAATGGAAACATCGTAGGTAAATATCATTTAAATGTAAAATTTAATTGTTATTTTTAATACAATGTTGTTTCTTCACTTTAGATTTACGATATGAATCTGGTATAGAATTTTGTGAAGCTCAAAATTTTCATCTAACAACTTCGGATTGTTTCGATTTTGATGAAAAAGGTCTTACGAAAACAATATCATTACTAAATTATTTTTTTAAAGATATTACTTTCATTCTACAAATATTCATCAATATTGTACAATAATATTTCCATTTTTAAACAGTCAATTATTTTTCTAGTCATTTACTGTCTTATGGATAGTATAGTGTAATTTAGTTTGTCGTCTTATTTTTGAACAATAATAATTGAGAGGTTTTTTTGTCAGATATTTTTAATATATTGCAAATTTTCAATTTTTCTTTTCTTGAATAAAATGAATGATAATACAAATGGCAATGTATCCCTTTTATCTTAATTTTTTATCCTTTTCTCCTAGAGATTCTAAAAGTTTTACCTGAATACCTATTATCGCTTTGTAGAAAAATGAATTGTCAGTATTAGAATGTCTCGCAACATAAAAAGGTCAATATAATTCTACGAAAAACTGATAGATTAATCCACGACTTATCTTGACGATAGAAAAAACTTTTGACTCACTTTTTCAATCAGATTTTAAATCGCATCCCCATACTTATCTAGCTAAAAGAAAAGGTGTTAATGAATGTTCATGAAGACTCTCAGCAATCAACCGTAGGATTACTTACTAACTGATCCTCAACTAATATGTTAACTAAAGATTCATCGCATCGATCTCGGAGTGCTTTTAAGATACTCATTATGGATACTGTTTATCTACAATGAAAAGAGTTTATCTAAAATCAATGCTTGGGTACTACTGTTTATAAGTGACTGTGAAAAATAGAGCAAAAATATACGATGGATTGAACATTCTCTAATGAAATAACATACAAATATTCACTTTTTTCTTATCAAACCTAACACCCATACATAGAAATGATAACTTTTGACGAAAGTGTAGGAGAATAAGTGCCATATAACAGAAGTAAAACTGTGGACCTGTAACTACACGTTGTCATTGTCTACCGTTTTATTTATATATAATCTGAGCGTAGTTTGTATACTTTATTCACATTAGGCATGCAACGGTTACGGTTATTAACCGTTAACCGTAACCGTAAATAACCGGTCGAACGGTTAACCGTAACCGCAAATAACCGGTCGAACGGTTAACCGTAACCGTAAATAACCGCTTTATAACAACTTAGTCTATACTTGATTTTTAGTTTGTTGATATCAGTTTACATTAGAAGTAGACAAGGATGGTCTTTGTCCTAACGTTATAGTGCATCTACTAATAAATTTATAAAAATTCTAGGTAATAGGTAATCGACCATGAGGAATCCAAAAATGAGTATAAGAGACCTCTAGAACGTATTATATTGGATAGAAACGTCCTGTTGGATTCCGGGATCTCACAAACACACTATTCCAGGAGAGACAAGCACTACTTGTTCGCTTATCGTGACGGTTTCGGTCAAACACTTGTTTCGTACAACGGGTGGAGCGGGCGGTGGATAGTGAGAGTGAGTTATGGAAGCCCGGAACCCTAGGCCCGTAACGAAGTCTCGTAATAAACACGTTCTTGGGTCGATGTGCGATTACTGCACTCTTGACTTTCATTGCTATTTTCGGACCCCGCATAGTCGAGTGTCTGTTCTATTCCATTTTCATCCGATCAAGTCAAAAGTAGGTTTCTGACCAATAGAATGCGTCCTAGAGGTCTCTTATACTCATTTTTGGATTCCTCATGGTCGATTACCTATTACCTAGAATTTTTATAAATTTATTAGTAGATGCACTATAACGTTAGGACAAAGACCATCCTTGTCTACTTCTAATGTAAACTGATATCAACAAACTAAAAATCAAGTATAGACTAAGTTGTTATAAAGCGGTTATTTACGGTTACGGTTAACCGTTGAATCGGTTATGTACGGTTACGGTTAACCGTTCCACCGGTTATTTGCGGTTACGGTTAACCGTTCCACCGGTTATTTGCGGTTACGGTTAACCGTTCGACCGGTTATTACGGTTACGGTTATGACCGGTTACGGTTAACCGTAACCGTTGCATGCCTAATTCACATGTCCAAGTCCTAGTATTTGTATATTTGAAGTGTAAATGTAGAAACGAATGCACGTGTTTGTGTATTTCTTTTTTTCAAAAGTATGATACGTACGATATAAATGATGAGAAATTTTAAATTAAACTCCTTTTTAGAATTTTATGGGACGCCCTACGCAGCACGTACACGATATTTGTATACTCTTCATTACAGTGTGAAGTCGAAAATACTTCTGACTGTCTATATGAATAACAAGAAGCTAATTCGGTACACTTCAACCGTACTCGATATTTGCAGAGAAAGGTTGTTTATTCAGAAACAGAAATAAAATGAGTTAAAAGATCATTTGACACAAGAAAAACGAAAAATATTGACTTTAGCACAACATACACATACAAAAATGAAAATTTATTCTGACACCAAATAAATATTGTGCAGTTTACGATGGACATGAGCAAGAAACAAAAAGGTATCCGTCTGTTACAACGGACAAGATAAGAACAACAAAATTACTCGTCGTCAACTAATGCAAATAATTGTTCAGCTTCTTGATAATATTTATTAGCCAAACGACCTTTCATTGATGCTAGTCCCACACCAGCCGCTTTCTTCTTAAATAACTCACCTCAAATTAAAAAAACTTATTTTTATACAGAATGAATAATTACGTTAGCAAAAGTACATATTGAAAGAATCACTTCTGGCATAACAGACAATATTCATCTTTTATTCATTCTAGCAATCTGTTAGGATACAACTTTTCACTATGAATAACTAACATAATCAAATTCAGTAAGTACTCCAAACGAGCCAAACGAATTTCTAATTCAAGATCATCTACGCAAAAAAATAATAAACTGTTTAGAGAAGTACAATTCATAAAGGAGACGAAGAATAAAAAGAAGTTGTTGAACATATAACACTCTTCTCCTTCCTACTTGATGATGTACGTTGTATTCTTACAAAACATTCACATTTATCTCTATTTGTAAATAAATGATTAGTTTTTTGTAACGGATATGTTTGTTCACATGCTTGAAATGTTAATTTATCAAAGATAATGAGTGATCCATCGGATAATGATAAAAATATTTGTCTTCCAAATTGTCCTAAAAATTCTTGTTCTTTACAGTACATCTAGATTTCTCTACTTTTTGTGGTATCTTATTTTGCTGCATTTTTTGGAGCATTGGTGAGGAGCATGTATAGATTTTGTTGAATGTTTTAATTTGACTAAACTGCTTAATCAAATGTTGAACCTATTCCAATGTACTAATTGCTGGTATTTTGTAAATAGATTTTCTTCGCTTGCCCTACCGTTATGATGACTTGTCCACATATTGTAAGATTTTGTCATTTTCAACGTTGATAGAAATCTCTATGTTTTAGTAAAAGATCTCGTTTTACTGATGAAACAGATGAACCGTTAAGATCGTTGAGTTGATTTTTCGATTCATTTTTTCAATGTAAAATCTGTATTTGCGTTGTAAATTGTCATAATTTTTTACTAATTGCTTTTCAAAACAGATATATATTCAAACCAGACAATAAATCTGTACAACACATTCTACAAATTAGAGTAAATAGAACATAAATTTTGTTTTGTACATAAAGTCAACGATACATACACACGCACACATACAGTGTTGTACAAAAATGCGTTCTTGTTATGATCAACAACAAAAACAGAACGTATTTGTAGAACAACAAACAAACACACACCAAAGAAAAATGAATAATCATAAATGAAAACAATAAACAAGAAAATAGAAAAAGCAGTAGAATTGTCTTTCAACAGTATTTTTTTGTCAATTTTATTCGTTCATAAACGAAAAGAAAAAGGAGGACGAAATTGTTTCAACTTTCCGCTGGAGGTGATACTTCATTCTGAAAAGATTCGCTTGGTACTGCTTCTTCAGGAGACACTGCAAATAGAGACAAAAAGATAAAGGTCTCGGATATTGCCAAAAGAGTACTATTAGAACAGATCAATAGATTTTCTACTCGTGTAATGTTTCAACAACGAACAAACATTTCAAGCATGTGAACAAACATATCCGTTACAAAAAACTAATCATTTATTTACAAATAGAGATAAATGTGAATGTTTTGTAAGAATACAACGTACATCATCAAGTAGGAAGGAGAAGAGTG